CTCAGGGTTCAGTCTTGGTGACCTCATAGTGATTCAGCTCACAGTAATGATAAACCTCATGAAGTCACCTCTGTAAGAGAAAAAGGGCTGCTGATGAATGCAAATGGATCTTAACATGGAGCTTTTTCCAGTTCAGACTACCGAGCTTGGGTCATTAATCTCAGATGTTTGGACTTATATTTAATTCAGCTTTCTAGATGCAAGTAATATCTTTGGTGGGATAGTCTTCTATCTTCTATTTTCGTGATGATAATGACAGTTTCTTACTATGTTTTCCACAGCATTTTATGCTTCTGAATTTCCACAGCATTTTATGCTTCTGAAATTCCACATTCCAACAGTACACATGTGTGCTGTTATACATACATGTACATACATACATGGATATCTACTATGTTACCTAGTACTTCAGAGGTCTTTGTCATCTTTGGCTGTGTAAAGTTTGGCTTCCAAGCCTTCTAGAATGGGATCAGCAGCTTTGTGAGAGCTTGAATTTTTTCCAAATTTTTTTCAAGTTTTAAAATTTTTTTTCTCAGCTTAGCTGGTCTTACGCTTAAGCATCTAATATTCTAGAGAAACAGCAGTTGCCAGCCCAGTTACCTCAGCTGATACCCTGGAGTTCAGAGCAACATGAACTGCGTATTCTTTTCTTTGATAACTCTGTGTGTGTTTTACTTTTGCTTTACGTTCTTTCTTTTGCCTAAGAAAAATATTCTTAAGAAGTTATGGTTTTTAAATTCCACTTTAAGCTTGTAAGATAGTACCCTGAGCTGATTAAATGGTGCTCTTGTTCAATGACCTGACACTTACTCGGTGGCAATGGTCTCTCAGATTACAAGGACTTCAGGATACTTTTACTTCCTTCAGAAATAGTTCTAGTTGCTGTAACCAGTAACATAGAATAACTCTATATAGCAGATAAACAGTATAACATATGCATTTTCTTCAGTGTCTATTAAATAATAGTTGCATAGTTTCTGTTGCATGGTGTTGGGGGTTTTTTCCCGCCCAAAAGGAGTTGTGCACCCTCTCTGCTCTGAGTAAGGCATAAACATACAAGTTATAAAACAGCATCTGTTCTTTGATGCTGTGACTCCAGTAGATCTGTTAGGTGAGTGGGATGGGCCATTCTCTGGAGTAGATGTTTAAGATCAAATTGATACTGATACTAGATATTGCAACCTAATATTTGAAGTATTGCAGAATATCTTCTGTTTAGTTTTCTTTCTTGTTTTCTCTGTTCTTAAAATTGCCTGGGGTTCATTGTTCTGCTCAATGAAACTGAAGAATTTGTCTTGTGTTGCAGAGACAAGTTTCGACTTTCAGACAGAGCTCAGTCTAGCTCAGTAGCTGAAGCTCTAGCTTTGTTTGTCTGCTTCAAGACCTGTATACAGTAGAGTCCAGAAGCAGAGGACAGAGCACATGTTAACTTGAAAACAAGTGCTGTTGAAATGTTATTTCTCAAGATCATAGAAGTGCAATTAAAAGCTTACAGAATCATTGCACAGTACCAGTTTGCACAGTTCTTAGTTCAGTCTTGGCCTTCTCAAAGTTCAGGTGTAGTGCAGATGACAGTCATGTCTCTTACGTCATCTGGAGATCTTCCATCAAGGAGAACTGGTAGTCTGGATAGACAGACTGCCCTGTTCCAGGGGACTGAAAATGACAGCACTGGTCTTTGTGCACTGGTGTTCCTGCGTGTAGAGGGAGGCTTGTCTTTGCAGTGGTAGTATTTCTGGATATTTCCTTTCTTCCTGTCTTCAGAGGTGATGATGGTGACTAGTATCTCTGTTTCCTCTTTATTTTTATGGATGCTGTGATGTCCTGGCCTTGCTATTTGTTTCTGATTTGATGTATTATCTCTTGCTGTTGCCCTCAGCTGCATACTCTCTTTAACCATGTTGGTTCAATGCTGATTGATGTAGACTACAGTAGAATATTAGTAAATGCAGGATTCTTACAATTGTGCCAGTATGCAGTGAGCTAATCTCCAAGGGGATTTGTTAGCTTTTTTTTCCCCCATTATGTACAACCATCCCCTTTTAGTGTCATGTGTAGCTTCATATTATTTGTGGAGAAACTCTCATCTTGTTGACTTGGGCACTGCTTCTCTTGCTATCCAAACTTTTTTCCATTCCTTGGTGCACTTCTTCAGCTGATGTGTCCAGACACTTGAAGGAAAAAGTGCACGGAGAAGTAAATTTTCTGTTTCTGAAACTGCTTTCTGTTCACCAATGTACATCCCATTGCAGTCTTTACAGATAGGCTGTGCATTCTGCACAGGCAATTGCTGGGTTGGGTTCTGATACCATTTCCAGCACAGTGATTTCGGTGAGGTGTGAGAAGCCTTTCACTGGTCTGTCAGTCATAGTAGTAGTAGTGGTCTCATTGCAATCCTTTAAAAAACCTCACTTTTGAAACAGTTTTATAACTGCAGAGAGCATCCCTGGAAAGGTCCTCAAGAAACGGTCATTTAGGTTCCTGGGAGTGAGTGGTCAGTAGAATAATTGATCTTTTGAGATTCATGCTTCCGAAAGCAGTTTGAAAGAAGTGTTGGAATGACAACTTTTATCCTGGAGAAACTGCACTTCATCTCTGCTAGAATGTCAAAGCACTACACCTGCTTTCAGCAGATAAAGGACCTGCTCTAGGGGTGTTAGTAGAAAAGGGCAGAAACAGGCTCTTCAGCTTGTTTTTCTTGCAGTATGACTTCAGAGATGGACTGAGCACTGCAACTGAACCTCTTGGAGCAAAACCATTGCCATGTGGCAACATTGGGAGGAGCACTTTCTGGGAACTGTTCATCTTTTCTTACAGCTTTGAAGATTTGTTATTCCTATTTTTTAATGAAGGATAACTTTACTTCTTGCTTTATAGGGAGTAATTGTGAGAAAGTTTGTCTCAAGTGTCCTGTCATACTTGTGTGTGTTATGCAGCATCCTTTAGCTGTCTTGTGGGACGGCTTTTTTCCTCAGTATAATGTAAAAAGAATGAAGTGGGTTTTGTTTTGCAGTTATCATATGCTTATTTGTGGTGTAATTTTCTCCTTTTATTATGAAAATAATATTAAAGTAACCTTCAAGACTTTTTTTTTTCTTTTTTTTTTTTTTTTAGGATAAGGCCATTAAGCATCCTGAGTGGAAGCAAAAATCAAATTAAGGGGAGAGTGCAAAATTACAGCTTACATTGAAACAAGTACATAATAATTCAAATTAGATAGCACTCAGCTTTTTATTGTGTAGCTTCATGAAAGTGGAGAAGGTTTTACTAATGTTATTGAATGTGAGTTTATGGTGCAGTTTAGATTAATGGATTGAGTTTTAAGACTGGATCTCTTTTTAGGATTGCAGCCAGCACTGCAAATCTTCAGCATGTTACTGGAGATGCAGCATTTCTCTGGGTTCCACTCTTCCTATTCAGTTCCAAGAATATGGTAGGATTAAGTGACTGTTTTACTTTCTAGAAGGGTGTTCAATTGAAAAGCCTCCTGGTGACCCTCTTAAAGGATATGAGGTAGTAAAACCTTTCTGGAGTAGTCCATTGTGGAAGATCCAAATTGGTGGATTTTGAAGTGAAAACTTTCTTCCCACCCCAGGTTCAGCACTTAGCTGGTATCCAAAGAAGTTCTGTGTCCTGAATTTCTTCAGTGATGTCCGCTCCTTCATTAAAAAATGGATACTCTAGCCCTGGTCTCTTTAGAATAGTCTGTGACTTCTGATGTCCCTGGCAGGAAAGACAATGTTTTAAAACTGTGTATATTGAGTACCATTTTCAGTACTTGTTAAGAAGAGTAATATGTAATATTAAATTGCTTGGAGACAGTTTACTTTCTGTGACAGAACATACCCTAATTGTATAGACACTAACTCAGTCTAGGTTTGCCTTACTTGCTATAACTCCCTTATTAGCACATGAGTGTGACTTCCTTACTGCTGTCTTAAGCAGTGACGGTGGTGTAGCTCTAGCAGGAGTATTTGTTCTGTTTGCAATCAGAAGCAGTACAGCAAGCTTCAGTTCAGCTCCTGTGGTGCAGATTGACTCACTTGCTACTTGATGCTGCATCCTTAATGGTGCTTATGAAGCTGCTCAGTAAAGTGGATCAGGGAACTGAACTTTTATGTGAATTATCAAGCTTAGTTACTTTTTTGTCTTGCTGCTTTTTAGCCTGGATCATTTCAGTGGGGGCTTTTGCTGAATGGTTTGTAGTCATGTTGATGCAAATGGATGCATAATAGTATGACAGGAATCAAAGATGGAAAAAAAATGGCAACTGCTTGAGGCTTTCTTATAGGAATTCAGGAAAGGAAAAAAAAAAAAAAAAGGCAGTAAACCAACCCTGCATAGTCCCTTTTTTTCAAGCAGAGGTCTTTACATCTCTGCTTAGAAAAATGTGTGTTAGACAAAATAAGTACCCAAAGTGGTATAGATTTGTATAAACATAGAATCTCCTGCTTCCAGACTGTGCAACAAATGACACAACTTTGTAGCAGCTTAGATTTTTCCATACTTGTGAGTTACGCAGCCTTAAGGTAATTTCTACTTGGTACTAATGGAGAGTCTTTTACAATCCTGTGTTAAATGCATGAACAACTGTTGGAGCTCTGTCATCCCACACACTATATAATCCAAAAAAAAAAAGAGTATTCAGGGTGCTAGGGCTAAGAGATGGCCTGATTGCTGTCTGTAACTATGTGATTGGAGATTACAGACAAGGTGGAACTGGACTCTTTTCAGAGGTGCCCAGTGATACACTGGAAGATGGTGTATACAGACTAGATGGGCTTCAGTTAGTGTGATTTTATACCTTTGGGTACACTGACAGCAGCAAGAAAATTGCTTTCCCTTGCTTTTCAAGTTGAATACAGTGTGAAATTGGGATGTCTTCTTAGCACTGCTTATTTAATTCAACTGCTAGCTTGGTTTTACTGGGGCGGTAGTAAGATGTTAGAGTGGTGTTTTGGTGTACTACATATCTGATGTGATTTTTTTTTTCTTTTCAGCAAATCTGACAGGCCATGCAGAGAAAGTTGGCATTGAAAACTTTGAGCTCCTGAAAGTTCTTGGAACAGGGGGTAAGATGCACTAATTTTAAGTTAAATGTTGGAAGCATTAGTCTTATATATAATTTTGTTTTCTTGCTGAGGTTTTGGTAATTGGAACATTCTTTAGGAAGATAGCACTTTCGTATTGCATAGCATATTTTTTTCAATTTTTTTAATAGATATGCAAAATTATATGGTCACATGTTGTAGCATGTGACCATATAATTTTATGTTATGGAGGTCACATGTTATGGAGGTCACATGTTGTAGCACAGCACTTTTGAAGATGCAGTTTTTTTGGAAAAAAGAAAACATATGGTTGAAAATTTGTGACAATTTAATATAGTTTGTGAAAAACCTAGTCTGTGTTAAGACATCATCTTGATAATTATGTTAAGTTTTCAGAGTGTGTTTGGGAAAAAAAACAGTAATTTTAATACATTATTTAATAAGATGCTCCATTTTTTAACTAATCCATTTTAGGGTTGCCGTTGGCTCCATAACTCTGTCCTAGTCAGATCCCAGTATTTTTTAAGACTGATAATGTTCATTGCTGTATTGTGGGTTTCAGTACAATGTTAGGGATTTTTAGCATGTTGTAGGATTACTGATGGTCTTGAACAAGAAACCTTTGTTTCTCCTTTGCTAAAGGGACACACAGCCCCATATGCAGACAAAAGTAATGACTTTTATTCTTTTTAGGGTGTTTATGCTTTTTTATTCTTTGGTCAGTACTAAGTCAGATGCATTGTTGAGTAGATTGGGGTAATCATGAGTGTGGACTATCATCAAGGTCTCCAGCAGTTTTATGCTAGTTAAATGATATTAAAATTTTGGGTGTTATCAGCCTTTAATAGCTGGCAGTGAGGCTGTAATTCATATAGATTCTTTTAGAAATTAATTAAGCTGTTAAATCACCTGAGAGGATATTTTTCTGTTTCTGAAGTAAGGTTTTTGAAGTTTAAATTTAACATGCTAAAAAATTGAAACCTTGCTGTTAAATTTAAATAGTTAGAGGTAGATACAAGGAAGCTTTAATATTCATAAATAAATGTTGCATATTCCTAGGTAGAAGCAATCATGATTTTCTGAAATAGTCAGTGTGAATCTGAGTGGGGTTGACAAAAATGAAATTATAAACAATTATACATTTATGTGAGGGTGTCTTTCTCTCCTGCTGATGGAAACATTGGCTGGATTTGTAAATTTTTTGAATTTTGTCTCTGTTACCTTTGCCATTGGTCTGAGATCACACTAGTATTACAACTACTGCATTTGGGGTACAAAGTAAATTGGTGAGTTCACAAGTTCAGACTAGTAGTAGCCTGACCTTCTCTTGTCTTTAGGCAGTACCTCTGAAATAGCCTGTCTTACTGTTTAGCTATTGTCAGTCATTCATTGCTACTTCCCATGCCTTCTTTTCTTCATGAACAGATTGGCCAAATTTTTCTTGGCCTGGAATACTCTTAACCATAGCAGGTATTTGTTAGTCTTGCAGTGCGAAGCTATTCTATTCACTCAAGTTAACAGGATAATTTTTGAGGGACCCCCTTCAGAAAAGGCTGCTTCAGTGGGTTGACAGTGGGGTTGATCCTGTGTGTGTGAAGTAAAAAAAAGAAGTCGAGTAAGCATGCCTGTCTGACTTCATCCTGTTCTAGTAGTCTTGCTGCTCCAGAAATGTCTTTTGTCTAAGATAATCTACTCTTTGTCTAATATAAAAGATTCCTCAAGCTTTAGGATTCCAAGGATTCCTTGGGTATCCTGGAATGGCATTTGTAGGAGGAGTAGTTGGCATTTGTTGTGTTGTTTGGTTTTTTGTTTTTTTCCCACTTTTTTTGATGTGCAGTTTTGCTCATAGCCTGCGGTTTTTGCTTCAGAAATCTAGACCATGAGGGCAGTCAAGAAGCTTTGTTCAGTCTCAAGCCTATGATAGCTAAGACTCATGCACTAGATATGTCAGAGGTTGCTGCTTGCTAATTACTAGATGGCATTAAATGCCAGTGACCTGATCAGAATGGAGTAGTTCTCTTTGCTTTGGTAAGTGACCGTCTGTCCGCTGGCAATGTTTGCTGCCACGCAGAGTTGCTGAAAACAGGATTCTGAGGAGGTTGGACCTGAAAGAGGTCCCTTAATTGCTTGGCCCAAGACACAGTCAGTTATACATGCATCACCCCTGGTGGTGATTCATTCTTAAAAGCCTCCAGTAGCAGAGATTCTGCAACCTTCCTAAGATGTTCTTGCTGATGAAGTTTAATTTCCTAACTTGAGAAACATTCTGGTCATTGCTATAAGCAAATAGAGAAAAGCCACCTTTACTCTGGCAGTGAAAGCTTTATCCTCGTGTGAGCTGTAACTAATGCTCAATAAGAATGTGATGCTGTTTTAAAATGCTTTACTGTGGAGTTACGCAGCATGCAGTGTTTTCAAACCAATACTTAATCGATCTAATGCAAGGAGAATGTGTTGAAACCTCGCAGTTACATTAAGTGATGACTGTAGATGCTGTTGAAACTAATTACAATATTTTAAATACAATATTCTACAATGAAGCAACTGGAACAACCACAGAAGATACTTAAAACATGTTAAATTAAATGACACCTTGCTTAAGGATATGTAATTGTGATAGTTTCTTACAGACTCAGCGGTGATTCTTTTCAGGTAACAGCAGTGAAGGTTTATTTAAATCTTCATTTTTATGCTTTACGTTTTAAAAATACAAACATTTAAGATTATTAGAAATAGTATCTGTGTGTGCTGATTTTTCTCCTGTGGAAGCCATTTTTTGTTATAACTTTTTTCATGCTATGGCTAAGCATAATTTCATACTTACTATTTTCTTTATTTGAATTGCTTTCTTACATTCTTTTGTCTGTTTTCTTCTAATATATACACTCAATTGGAAGCATGCTTGTTATATTTTGCTTTTTGGTATAAAATTATATCATACTATATGCTTTCTTCTTTTGACCTGAGTCTCAGTGCGAAGACAAGAAAGCAAAAGTCTGAGTTGGGTCCTTTTATGTTGCATTAAGGGGGTAGTAATAGAATAAACTCATTAATTGAAGAAATGAGTAGCACTTTACATCAGTAAAATGAAAGACATGACACTGTTAATGAAGGTATCAATAGTGTACTTGTTGCTTTGGGAACAAACTGTTACTGGCTTGACTTCTGACTGGCCCATGTTCTAGTCAGTATCCTGCGTAGTATATTGAAAATTGGGTAAATCCTTTTCTCTTTCTGTTACTGTTATAGCCTTGCTAATAAGGAATTTTCAGATTTCTTGTCCATGTTTGTGCATCCAGCTTGTCCCTCCTACTTAGTTAAAGCTTTTTTCCCTGTGACAAAGAAAACTAGAGTCTATTCTGTAGAAGAAGGTTACTTTTCAGCAAAGTAATCTAATTGCTTCCCAAAGCCAGGAAAGGAACAACAGGAGAAGGTGGCTGTGTTGATTTATGCACGCCCACTTGGCTTATTTGCTTCATTCTTTGAAAATGTTTTTTAACCACTTGGCTTATTTGCTTCATTCTTTGAAAATGTGTTTTTAAAACAAGAAAAACACTGTAGAGTGCATTCTGGTTCATACATTTTCCTACCAATGGATTATTCCTTTTTTATACTGAACTTTAATAAATGCCACTTTAGTTCACTCTTTCAACTGTGGTTAAAAAGAGACAATACAATTGGTTCTTGAGCATGTGCACTTATAATCCATTCTACCTTTGGAACTACAATCCACTAATGAAGACTAACAATAATGAGAAACAAGAATCTATCTACCATATATGAGAGAATGTTTTATATGTGCTCTTCTGGATTTAAGTGCTTATGTGGGAAGGATATTCACCTTATATGTAGAAGATCCTTAGTAGCTGAAGGATTTATTTGTATGAAGGGAACAAAATTAGTGGGATGAATGTCAGATTTAAATAACCATCTCAAAAGTCTTGTTATACAAGAAGATATAGGGAAGTTTCATCTAAGAGGTCAGAAAGTATTTTGAGAAGGTTAAGGCTGTGAAATGAAGTTAGTTCCTTCAAAGCATATTGAAGAAAATATATTCTCTCATAAAAGGAGGAAAAAGAAAGAAATGGGGATACTGTGCTCAGCAGAGTGAAACAGAATTAGTGAGTGTCTAAAAATAATTCCAAACTGCAATTAAATATTTTACTTCAGTTTCTGCTGAGGACAGCTAGAATGTATACTGAATGGTAGGTGGGATGGCTAATTGGAGACAGGGTTTGGAAATGAAAAAATTGGTTTTCTGCATGAAGAACAGACTGAAAAGAGGGGGCTGTGTTCAATCCAAGAGCCTGGACAAATTTTTCCCTTTCACACACCAGAGAATTCTGAAAAAATCTGTACATTAAATTGGAGATCAATAGCAAAGATTCTTATTGGAACTAATGCCAGAGAAAATAGCAAAAAAAGCCTTACGTTTAAGAAGGAAAGGAGAAAGTAAGATCATGATCCCAGGCAGTTCTTGGTTGTTCTGACTTCATCAAACTTTAGTGGTGTGCAGTACCTTTAAAAATTTTTTGAAGAAAATGAATTACCTTAATTTTTTTAATAACTAAAAACTAATGGGTATCAATATCCAGTGGTAGATTGTCTTGCATTTGAGAGCTCCCTTCTAAAAACTGACATCCTTTAAAAATTAACAACAAAAAAAAATTAGGCATGTATTGTCTACCTTAACTATTTACTGTAATAAATTTACCTTAAAAAAAACCCCAAAAGTAAAATGCTGACATAAAGTACATTTTAAGATGCAACTTACCCTCTCCTGTCACTTTTTGCCTTTCATATTAATCATCACTCACTTGTTTAATGGGAGAGAGAATTTATTCTAGGAGTAAATAATAATGTTGAAAAAATTCCATTAATGATTCTTGCCTATCTGAGATCTAAGGAAAGATGACAGAGAATGCCTTGTTTTTAACAGATTGCTCATAGACAATAAATTGGAAATATTTAGAATGCTGTTATTTGAGGTTTGTTACGGTTTCTGTTTGCTTTACCCCCCA